TCAAGGGCTGCCCGCTCATGACTAACTGCCTACCACAGGCTCACCCGGTGCCCCAGGCTTTGCTGAACTGAAGCCTCAGGCAACCCAGATAGCTCCACAAGAGCTGAGGCTGCTAGACAGCTGGCGGGTAAGGGAGCTCCCCCATGCCTTCCCTCGCTAAAGATCTCTGGCCTTGACTCTGCCCAGCTCTGAGAATAAAAATTAGCTGATGACATGCATAACCTAGGCACCTACCAAGAGATATCTAGAGGTGTGCCAGGCCTAGTGGCCAGATGCTCACTGAAGAGCCTTCCAGGAAGTGAAGCTGGGGCACTGACCACCCGAAATGAGCCAGAGATCCCTGGTGTGGGCACCAGCCCTTGGCCACCTGGCTAGGAGCAAAATGAGAACAAGAGACAGGGCCTGGGAACAAATCCCGAGTCTGCTTCCAGGTCAGGACAGCACAGGCAGCTTCTGACAGGTCACGGAGGGCAGTCTGGCACTGCCCACTGTGACCTGTGTTCCCCGGGTGGCCATGCACTCCGGGCGACAGTAGCTGGCCCTCATGCCTGCTATGCCAGCTCTATTATAGTTACACAAGCTGATTAAAGATGCTGCCAGGCAGTAAAAGAAGAAAGTGGAATAGCATAGCTATTGGGAACACAGTGTAAGGTTGTGTAGACTGGGTAAAGATTCGAGGCTAGGAAAACAGCTGCTGAGTTAAAAGAAGGTGAGTAATGGAAGAAGTGAAGGGATAGACACATTTCTTTTTTTTTTTTTCCTTTCATTTCTTATTTACATTTAATCACTGTACATCTTTACAGGGAACCCTCCTACTGTTGGCAGGAGTGTAAATTAGTACACTCATACTTTTGTGCAAGAGTCTATCATCTCTCTTCCACATTATAAAGCACAGAGCAGGAGGTCTTAGATAGCACATTATGAGAATAGTGTGTGTAAGAAAGAAAATGGAGGGACTAGCAGATGGTGTAGTGGTTATGTCACTGGACTCTCACATAGCTGACGGTGGTTCGAGTTCCAGACCCAGTGGTTTGAAAATTATGCTAGATGTGTGTGCATGCATGCCCAAGAGTTTGGAAGGAGAGTGGAGGAGAACGGATTGTGGCGTTGCCATGCCCCCACAGGTGATTTCTCATGTTCCCTCTCACTGCCTCTGTCTCTAGAAAGCACACATGCCCTAAAGCAAGAACCTCCAAAGAAAATGGAGATTTCAGAGAACAGGCCTTACAGCAGAAGGTTCATAAACAAATGCACATTTTTATGTACTCAAGTTAGAATAACTGATATATGAGGGAGTCTTCAACAATTTCATGGAAAAAATACGTATTTTTAGTTTGCTATAGGACATGTATGCTCACTAGAAAGAGAGAGAGAGGAAGAGAAAGAGAGAAAGTGAGAAATCTACCCCCAGGGGGAATGGCAATGCAGCAATCCCTTCTCCAAACTCTTGGGATTTGAGGCATGTATACACACACATGCACCCAGCATGTTTTTCAAGCCACTCGTCTGGGTCTTGATCCATGCAGTCAGCCACATGGGATCCAGCCACCTTAACTACCATCTGGCCCTCATAGAAAATATGTACTGTGGAAAAACTATTTATGATTTCAAATATTTTTGCACCAAAATAAAGGTGTATTTTATTTGCATTTCCACACACTTTTTGAAGTACCCCCATAGGTTTGGATCTTTTTCTGTGATTCTCTGTCTAAAGACAATTTAAATGACTGGGTTGCTCTGGCAGATGAGCACTGCTGAACTGGAGTTGTGTGGAGAGGACCTGGACTCCCCCCAAGGAGCCGAGGGGCCCAGGCAAGGGCAAGTAAGCAGTGCAGGCCAGACGTAGGCTCCCCTGCTTCCAGCTGCGGTTGAGTCGAGCTGATCCCACCTGCCGGCCTTTAGGGCCCCCTCTTTTGAGTCCCCATGTCCACTGTGGCTGTGCAGAGCTCACTGACACACGGGCGCGACGAAGTGCCCTCTGCAATGCCCTGGCTTACTCCTGGTCGCCTGCTCTCCACGGGAGACGCTTACTGGGCTCCAGTGTAACTTACCTACTGTGTTCATTGAGTTCTTGTTTATTTCATGACACGAGTGCACCTGCTATGGGTATTCAGAATATGCCTAAGAAATGGAGCAGTGAGGATTGCGATATGGCAGATTCAGGTGGTAATCAAAAGAAGTCCCTGTCTGTCACGTCTACACAGGCAGGACCTTCACTTACAGAGTGAGGCCGGCGCTCTGGGTGGGCTGCCAGCTTCCCTCGCTTCTTTCTTGCCCTTCTGAGTTTGAAGCTCTCCAGAGTTAACTCCTCCATCTGTCCCAAGAGAACTATGTGGGTACCTTGTGTGCTCGCCGTCCATGGGCCTGGACAGAACCTGAACGTTCTGGTCACCCTGTGTCCACGACTCAGGGCAGTGCCGACAGCTTTCCGGCCACTGTCTGTGCAGATCCTACTGGCTGCAAGGCAGATGCTTCCTGAGCCACGTGGGTTTCAAATCAGTAGTCCCACAGCCTGGCACCACTTTGCAAGAAGTGCTGAAGGCTTCGAGCTGTTTCGCATTTGGGCCTAGATTTACTGTTCAGTTTTTCCTTTCTGTCTTTCCAGCCACTTCTGACCTTGCTCGGGCCCTTGGCCTTCTCCCTTAAAGTATGCGGCCACGTCTGCTCTAGCTTCCCTTGGCCAGGCAGCCTGGCCTGAGCCACATCTTCAAGTACAGATTGTTTCCGACCTGGCCCCGCCCACTTCTCACCCGCGCACCCAGCTGCTGCTGCAGGTGCTCCCTGGCCAGTGGGGCAGGGCAGTCCTCATGTCAGGGCGTACAGACCAGACCAGACAGTCACACAAAAGTGTCAAGAGCAGACAGGCCTCTTCAGCTGGACCCGAGGAGGGTGGTAGGATGGGGTACAGTACTCAAGAAAAGCCACTATCAGGAACCAGCAGTTAGCGTAATGGCTGTCGCTAGACTCCCACGTAGTCAACCGCGGTTCACGTCCTGGACCCGGTGGCTTAAAACTCACGCCGGGCGCGTGTGCGTAGGAGCCCAAAATCCCAAGAGCAGAATGGAGGAGAAGGGTCCCCCCTGGGGGTGATTTCTCGTTTTCTGTCTCTCTGTCTCTCTCTGTCTGCCTGGCGAGCGCACGCACCCTATAGCGAAAAACCTCTCCAAAAAAAAAAAGCCACTGTAAAGTTATGAGATACCTCCTTTCCTTCAAACTCATGAGTGAGCTCATGGGGAGTCACTTTCGAGATCTGTCTCACGGGCCCACTGGTGGTGCAGTGGTAAACGGGCTCCAGGTTCACACCTAGAGACCTCTGAGCATGGGAGGTGTGTGCACACCCAGGTCCCGGCTGGCTGAGGCTGGGGCTGGTTGTGGCATCAAAGCCCTGTTGGAGGTGCCTACCTCTGTGCTTCTCTCAGTCACAGAAGAAAGAAAGAAATTAAAGCTTAAAAAATAAATCTGTTTCAACTAAATAAACCAGCGTAATGAAAAATGCATTGAGCAGCAAATTCTGTCTCTTAGGCTTGAGTTTTTCTTCTGCCACTAACCAGCTTCATATCTTGGGGGAGTGTTTTAATCTTAGAGAGTTTGTTTAATCTACTTAGTCCTCAGTATGCTCATCTATAAAATGAAGGTGTTAGGCTGGAATATTTTTAAAGTTTGAGTATTCATTGAAGAGAGTGCCTGATGGAAAATTGCTTGGCAGTCCTATTGTGCCTTTCATAGAAGTAATGATTTTGCAGCCTTTTTCTTCAGCCTGAATATGTAACTTCAATTGTGATTAAGCTTCTTTCTTTCCATCAGAGATATTTTCATAAGGTGCAAATGAGACAGGTTCCTAAACTAAAATAAATGGAGAAAGATGTCTCTAGAGTGCAGCTACCATCTGGTAGTGGCAAGTGGATATTCACTGCTTTTGACCACAGCAAGAGTATCTTGCAGACACTGCAGACGGTGTGGGAGGAGGGTGGAAGGTAGGGGAGGGTGAGAGGAAGGAAATCGAGAGGAATAGAGAGTGAAACAAGTGAGGGGCTCAGAGATGGAGGACTGCCCAGCTGTGGTGATGCACAGTGATTAAACATATCAAATACATTTTTAAAAAGAGTGCACCTGATAACAGGCGGACCTGGACACACGGATGGTGCTGCAGACGCACATGTAAACATATGTCACCACTTCACCGCAAAGAGGCGCGGTGCAGAGGCTGGGTCTCCCCGAGCACTGCATCCCACCTCCACAGCCTTTGGAGGCCGGCGGCCATACTGCTCCCACCTTGTCTGCTATGCCCCTCAGTCAGTCCTCTTAACAGCTGGCCAGGTTCTAGTCTCCCCACAGACATGGTCGGCTCACCCTGACCTGGCCTCTCCACTCAGCACCTCATCTCTCTGGTCCTTTCTCGGCTCACCTTCTCCCTGCACATCTCGCTCCTGGTCCCCATCTTTTACTCATTCTCTGTCGCTCCTGCTTGGAAACCCCCTTTCCAAAATAAAACCAAACCCAGACAAAACAAAGTAACATACCAGCCCAATGAATCTTTCTAAGAAACTCCCAGCTGGCACTACACTGTCAAAATAATAGACACTGTTCCATCTTACCCCCACCCTCGGGCCTTCCTGAATCCTACCCTCTCCTCTGCAGCCCGGGTCCTGACTATCTCACAGGCACACTGAATTTTCACACCAAACTGAATCTTCACGGCTATTCAATTCATTTGCCATCCAACAGCTAAAGTGGGTTTTTAAATATATATACATATACATAAATATACATATATGTGTGTGTGTAATTTAATTGTGCTATTTAATTCCTTGAGATTTCTAATGGTTTTCCCATTGCATTTAAGATTTAAAAACAACTATACCGTCCCCGGTGTGACCCAAGCCTCTCCTTGCCACCATCTTTTTCTCTAATAGCTTTGCCTCCACCTATGTTTCAGTGACAGTAGACTCAATTTCAGCCCATCAAAATCTTTCCATCACAGGGGTTTCAGACATGCTTACCTCTTCCTTGGGTGTCTTCTCTTCAACTATTTCCCTCTCTCCATCACTATCATATTGAGAAAGAGAGGCTGTCTTAGTCCTTTTGGGTTTCTATAACAAAGTAACACAGACTGGTAGTTGGACAGGACTGTATTACCTCGCAGCTGTAGAGGTTGGGAAGTCAGATCAATGCGTCAGAAGGTTCCATGTCTGGGAGGGGCCTGGTCTTCATCCCATGACAGGGTCGTGAATGCTCATCCTCTGCAGGGGTAGGACTTTGTCTCCGAGAAGAAGAGCTGAGAGAGAACAGGAGGGGAGGTACTCACCTTTTATAATAGCCCAATAGTCCATGAGGGTGGACACCTCATGGCCTGATAACCCCTTAAAGGTCTACACCTTAATACTGGCACAATCACAATTAAATTTCAATGTGAGTTTGGGAGGCAGGAAACATTCGAACCATAGTTTGACCTCGAACTCATGCCCTGCTCTTATACATTCATTCCATCACAAAAGCCCAAACCTAACTTGACCCAACTTGTCCTAACTCCCATGAGTACATGCCATTGTTGCTTTTCCATTAATATTTATTAGGACTGGGGCCATCAGGTGGTGTGGTGGTTAGGGGCGCTGGCTCCCACATGGCCAACTGCAGTTCAAGTCCCAGACCTGGCAGCTTGCTTTCTCACTTTCTCTCTCTCTCTGGTCAAATTAAAATAAATAAAAATGATAAATAAATAAAATTAAATAAAAAAAAATTCATTAGCACCTTCTAGACATCCAAGCGTATGATCAGCAAATCTCACAATTCTTCAGATTTTCTGAGTGTAGTTATAAAGCTTTCTCCAGTTCAGGGGGAGAAGGTGTGTGCTTTCTTCCTTGTTCTCTATTTTGAAATTCTAACCTACCCTCACTTTTTGAACCACAGCAGCGGGACGGGGGCGCTGGCTCCCACATGGCCAACTGCAGTTCAAGTCCCAGACCTGGCAGCTTGCTTTCTCACTTTCTCTCTCTCTCTGTCTCTCTCTGGTCAAATTAAAATAAATAAAAATGATAAATAAATAAAATTAAATAAAAAAAAATTCATTAGCACCTTCTAGACATCCAAGCGTATGATCAGCAAATCTCACAATTCTTCAGATTTTCTGAGTGTAGTTATAAAGCTTTCTCCAGTTCAGGGGGAGAAGGTGTGTGCTTTCTTCCTTGTTCTCTATTTTGAAATTCTAACCTACCCTCACTTTTTGAACCACAGCAGCGGGACGACTCCTGAACCCACTGGAACCATCAACATGGTTTCTCACTCTGTTGAAAATAGTTTTTGTCTTGGGGATGACTAGCTAAGCAGAGAGCTGATCAGGAAGTGCCTTGTTCTGCGTATTTGCTGAAAACATAAAACATTCTTACTTGAAGAAGACCCTGCAGCTCTCTGCTAAGTCCCTGACGCCACAAACTGTTGGTGTCTGTGCTGACCATGTCGGTGCACCTGTGACTTTGGCACAGAGAGCTGAGGAACTAGCAGAGAAGAGATAGACTTCGCCATCTTCACATGACCTGCCCCCTCAACCAGAGTAGTGGGGGCGGAGAGTAATGCCTCCTCCTGCCTCTTCCTGGATGGTCAGTGTAGACCGCTGGCTCAGTTTCTCCTCTTGCCTGTTAGCAGAGCCTTGGAGCACATGCTGTGAATGGCGAGTCTGTACTAGGTGTTTTTACTATTGTCGATAAAAACCCTCAAAAACCTGAACCTGGGCCAAACTTCCAACACTTCAAAGTAAGGTAAAGGAAGTTCCTGTTCTTCGTAGAGCTGTGGTCATTTCCCATCTATTAAATCAACAGTTAGCCACCACTGAAGTCACCACAGTCACGCTGACTCCCTGAGCCGATCCCGGCAGCCGCCCTCTGCTTCCATGGCACCGAGGCAGCCACACTTGCTGAGCAGAGCCCTGAGGGGACTCGTGCCTCCACGTGGGCCATTGCCTAGTGCAGCCACTGGCCTCGACGTGGCCCAACCAGCACTTTCTGTGCTCTTTTGTCACAGCTCGCTTGCTTTCCGTAGGAGTTTCTTTTTGTTCCTGTTTATAAAACGCACCCTGTCTCACATGAAATTGTCTACGTAGGCTGGACATGAAAGCCTTTCCTACAGTCCGAGCATCTGCAGGCACCTCGCATGTCTGGACAGAGGTGTGGGACAGCACTGTCCTCACAAGGCAGCCGCCTACCCAAGTCACTTGGCAATGGTTACGTGGGCTCCTTTGAAAGTGATAGAACTTGTCCTGTACCAGAACCCACCCAAGTGCACATTTGGGTCTGTGGGATCAGTTTATGCCCGTGAGAAGTTATAAAACCCTCTAAAACATTCTAGTTGGGGGAACCAGCAGTTAGCGTAATGGCTATGTCGCTAGACTCCCACGTAGTCGACCACGGTTCGCATCCCAGACCCGGTGGCTTAAAACTCACGCCAGGCGCGTGTGCGTGCGTGTCCAAGATCCCGAGAGGAGAATGGAGGAGAAGGGGTTGTGGTATGACCATCCCCCCGGGGGGTGATTTCTCGCTTTCTGTCTCTATGTCTCTCTCTGTCTGGCGAGTGCACGCGCCCTATAGCGAAAACCTCTCAAGAAAAAAAAATTCTAGTTGACATTAATCATTTTTAAATACATTTTAAAAAGAGTTTATTATTTATTTTCTCTGAGAAAGAGAGAGAAATACAAGCACCCTCAATAGGCTGTCTACATTGCAATCCATCTTCAGCCTCAGCCAGCCTGGGTCATGGGCACATGTACATCAAGTATGGAGGGAGGCCCTGGGCTTTGAACCCTGGACTTCCTATGTGGGTCTAGTTGTGCTACCCTGTTCCAGCACAGAGAATGGAGCAGACTTTGGAACCAGCTGAGTTTGTTCAGCCTTATTCCACTAACTTTGTAGCTGTTTGACCTAGGCAAGGTCTCCAATCTCCACACCTTGGCTCCATCATCCATAACATGATGATCCCACAGCAAATAACCATGGTAACGTCATACGGTTCCTGCTCTGGAGATGCCCAGAAGTGCTAGACTCCCCCAGTGTGGCCATTCCTCACGGCCAGACCCTTCCCACGCACAGTGAAGCAAAGCTCCGTCATCATCCCCTAGTCCACTCAGAGAAGGGTGAGGCTCTCCTCAACCCTGACCAGGTGACCTTTCCCCAGCAGCAAGTGCCGGATGCTTCCTGAGTCAGGGCAGACCGAGCACTTGGAGGTGGTGTGCTCACAGTGGTTTCGACATCACTTTCCTTGGAAAGTGGGAACCAAAGTGAGGTCAAGATCGTGTCACCCAGAAGCAGGTAACTGTGGCCTCTCAGTACGAAGCCTTCTCGCTTGGCTAGGCACTGGACGTTTCCCAGAACTTGGTACTAAAACTGGGGAGTCCTGGGCAAGCAGGAAGGCCACTCAGGAATGTCCCCTCCCAACTCAGGGCCCCTGGAAGCCAGATCTGGGCAGAGGGCAGGTCCCCCTCCAGGACTGTGCACGAGGACGCCGTCTCAGGAGATGAGAGGGCCAGCTCTGTGACCACTAAGATCACCTCTGCCATGCTGTGTACAGCCCCGCTGAGCAGGAGCCCCAGCCCCAGACATCCACCGCTCTCTCCTGACAGGGAAGCAGGGAGACGCCCGCGGGTGCATGCCCTTTCTGAACTGACTTGCCGAACGGGTTGAGAGGAAAACAGGGTCCTCGCGTCCTGATCGCATCAGCCTAACTCGACCAGGCCTGCGCCTGCTGTTTACCTCTAAGGGTGTGCCTGGTGACAGACCTCCGAGGTCACTTCCTGAGCTGTCTTGCTCTGGCCTGAGAGCCACTGCCAAGGCTGTGTCCACTCTGCTTTCTCCATAGGTCTGGAACGTGGACATCCGCTGAAAGCCAAGACCCGCAGCCTGGCTCAGCTGTAGGCTAATTCGAGGTCTCATTTGTAAAGTCTTCTGCTTTCTGTTCCATTTAGACTCCAAAGCTTTAAGCTATCTGGGTGAAGGAGCTGCAGAGGTGAAAATAAACCACAGTGGAAGAAAATATGCCGTTTACAATTTCCATGCTTCTCTTCTGTCTGGTCCTGAGGCTCAGATTCTCACTTTCTAAGGAGCTTAATCTATGCTTACTGCACCCTCCTCTTCAGAAAGCACCCCAGCTTTTTATTATTTTTATTTTTTAAATTTATTTTTAAAGTATTTTTTATACATTCAATTGTTATATATCATTTAACTTGTAGGGAGAATTTACCCAACATGAAATACACCTCAGACCAGTCCAGTTGAGAATACTGTACTCGTCATCAACAGGTAATAAACTGTTTGTATCCCACAAATGTCTTACCTCTCTATTTTTCT